ACAGATTCTGCTTCTGGTTTATTAGTTTCTTGAGCTGAAGACTCGGAGTCGAGTTCAAAGTTGTTGGAAAAGTTTAAGTCATTGTTTTCCTGACGACTTAATGGATCAAACATTTCGAGAATGTCTTGGCCTTCATTGTCCACCAAATCAATCAAATCGCTGTTATTTGCTTTGGATTCACGGCTCGAAACAATTGTTGAACTATTTTTTTGGTTGCCGTTTGTGACGAGTCTTTTGATGTCTTCAGTTGTGGCGACATTTGTTGTTGCGTTTGATGTCATGGATTGAAACACTGGTGAATATGAATAACTATATGTCGTGTTTGAGAAAGCGTTTGCCGAGAATGAAGGCGCCGATAGACTGTGAGACAGGGGTGTCATTGGTGTCACTCCAAGAGGACTGACGGGCGAAACCTTAAACACAATAATTGTCATTAGATTACGAATTGTGATTACAATTAGATGACATACTCCGGCAGAAGAGGAAGAATAAACATAATTGGCGAAAGCGGTGCTATTATTATTGGTAGAAAGAGTTGACCACATCTGAGGTCGAGGCGAAGAGAGCAGTAGAGAGTTTGGGGGAAGGCTTTGGTTCTGCCACTGAATGTATGACTGATTTGTGGATGCAATTGGCGTCGGGGTTGTAGTGGGCGTTGAGACCGGATTTGCTGTCATTTCAAAAATCAATGTCAAAACTGAGACAAATGAGTGAACAACTAACCGAAGAATCCTCCGATTGTATGTCTGGAGAGTTGGGAATCAAATTGATTGTGATTTTGATTGAAATCCAAGTTTTGAGACGTAAAGCGAAAGTTCATTAAACTATTGGAGAAGACGTGAAAATGAGTTGACATTCAAAACGAAAACAATAATTAACTTTTTGTTGGAAGAGTTGGGCGGCGGAGGAACCGACTGAAGAAGTCGTGCGTCGGATGTGGAGGCCATTCGTGCGGACGACTGGCCGGCCATTGATATGGTTCGACGCGGAGGAAGGGGTGGAACAGATCCTATGGACGCAAACAATCATCAAATAATGTCAAATAAAGTGAAGTAAACAAAAACAACAACAAAACGAGTGATGATTGACACAAACCATTGTTTTGACTCATTGTTTGTCACAAATTCATAATTAGTGTGTCTTTTAAGACAATAATTAAAATTAATGCCAAAAATATTGATTTTATTTATAAATAAAAATAATATTTATTTTGTTGTATAAAAAATATATTAATATTTGGTATAAAAATGAATTGAAAGCCAAAACTGTGTAATCATTTGATGCACTGTTTTGTAGCAATATTTCTATCCAATGATGTCATCAAATGACTCAATCACTCAACACAGAGGCTCTCATTTCAAGTCAAGTGTTGGGTCTGTAGTGAAAGCACTCAATGTCTGATCCATTAGATCCCAAACACTTCTTCAACTTCATTATTGTCACCATTTTTAAGCTATAAATCATTTTATTGATAATTATTGTCATTTCAAATATACTATTAGTTTTAGATATGCTTTTACGACAAGAATACAAATGAATAAATTTAATTATTATTGGTTTCTAATAATTGTAGAAATAATTGTTTCGTTAATGAATTACAAAATAACGTTAAAATATAGTTTAAATCAAGAAATTTACGAAATAATGTCTATCTTATTAAATATAATGCAAAATTCAAAACACAAATGATTTTAGGTTTTTATAATAAAACACTTAAAATAATGAATTATTTATTTTCTTCGGTCTCTTTCTCCAGAACTTTATTGAACGCCAGAACCGATGCTTCGACAGCTTTTTTCATCGATTCGTACTTTTAATTAAAACAAACGTTAAAATCAAATAATAATTAAGTTTTTCTTCTCTAAAAATACCTTAGTTTTCATGGTTTCCTTTTGTCGCTTAAATGAACAGATTTCGTCATTTTGTTTCTCTGTTGCGGTCGTCATCTTCTTCTGTCTCGCCTCCAACTCCTGTATGTATTCATTCAATTGCGCTAAAAATACAAGCAATTAGTTATCAAACGTTTCAATCAAAATAATTATAATTACAAATTTTCTCCTGATTTGCGATCAACTCTTCATTGAGTCTCACTTTCAAGGCCTCATCTTTTTCCGACTGATCGATCAGTAATTCCATGTCATAAACGGTTCCGTTCTTCTCATAGATCCTCACATTTGATGCCTGAGAGGCGTCGTCGTCGGCCTTTTGCGTGTTCACAGCACTCGTCGTTTTGGTGACAGTAAGCAATTCTTTGGGTTCGCATAAGTCTCGGTATAAAACCTTGTCTTCAGTACTCATCAGAAGATTGAAAGCTTTTCGCGAAAGAGTGAAATTCGCGTTATTTAATAGTTTTGTCAAATCGTCGGCCAAAATGTGTCCGCAATGACTGGAATCGAAGTATGCAAACGACAGGTGGACGTAGTTTATAGGCATTGGAGTCGGCTTTTCGGGACAAACAAATTATTAAACATTGATTGCAAAACATATTTTTTGAGACATACTTTCGCCGTTTCCGCACTCTTCTCGTCCTTCGAGACGGGATTCTTGTAGTTATGGATTAAAGTCGACAAAATATAGTGCGAAAAATGATGGATCAAAGACTCTCTAATCACTTCGGAAACAATTGACATCTAAATGGAAAAAATGAATGAAAAGTTAACGAATCGACAACTGGTCTCATATCTGACCTCAAACTGATCGTATCGCTGATGATTCAACGCTTCGTGAAGTGTAATGACAGTCAGATTCTCGCCTCCCTTCACATAAACGCATCCATCGGTCACTTTTGTCGGAATCACTTCTGGAGCCACTTCTATATTCTTGGCTTTCTTTGATTCCTTCGGTGATTGAGAATCATTCTTGCGTTTAACCGTTCCTTCAAATAACATACAAATAATGAGTATTTTCTATAAGATTAGGAATTGAGTATTAAACCATTTTGTGTGCTTTTTTCTTCGACAATTTCAATGTCGTTACTTTGTGACCCGTTTGGTGTGTCCTCAATGGTCACATCATTTGGTTTGGAATCATTGGTCTTATCGTCGACTAAATCAATGACCATTTGTTCCTCATTCTGAACGCCTTCCTTCTCGTCCTCAATCATTATGACATCATTTGTTTCGTTTGTGTTATTCTCTTCACAAACGACAGAAGAATTAGTGTCAACAATGGGATCAGTTTGTGTCGGTTCAGTGGCCTCTTCGGCCTTAGTCTGGTCATCGGTGGCGGCGTTCTCTTTGCTGAGAATTCTCTGCGCCCACCAATCGTTCTTAACGTCATCGCTCACAACGTCTTCGTCTTCGAGCAGTTGAGTGATAAGTTGTCGCAATTTATTGATGAGATCCGCCTTTTTGTGATTACCCTTAAGACGTGCGCCCCGTTTCTCGAGCTCTGCCCGCAATTCTGCGACTTTCAAGTCATTTATACTCTCAAGCAATCGATGCAACTCTGAAACATCACCCGAAGAAATGGCCTTTTGGGCCGCCGTTTCGTCTAATGAAATATCGTTTGTTGTGTTTGAGGTCTGAAGTCCTGATTCAACGTTAGACAAGTCGTTGTCCTGCGATTCCAGAGTAGAATCGAGAGCTGAGTTATCAACAATTGCTGCTTCCGATGAAGTGTTTGGATCCAAAGGCAACTGATCTGATGCTTCAGGAGGAGGACAAGTGGTGTCAACACTGGCCGTGGTTTCAACAATAGCGGTAGAATCCATGGGCTGTGAAGCGATTGTCTCGGATTGAAGCAAATTGATAGCAGAGTCAGATGAGGGCTCGACCTCCAGAGCCGACGAGTCTTCCAGATTTGGTGTCGTCTGTGGTTCGTCACGAGAACCGTTGTCTTCAGTACTGATTAACTCATTTTTATCATTAGTAGTATCAATAACTTCACTATTATTTTCTAAGTTTTCATTATTTAAAACAGTTTCAAATTGATTATCATTTTCTAAATCATTGATGTTTTTCGGCTGTTTGTCGTAAATGCCATCAAAAGCAGACCAAACGTCAGGCATAAACACTCGATTGATCTCAAGACTCGGAGTCATTGGGTCCACAGAGTTGTCGCTATAAAACACATTTCAATTAGTATTCTTCCCATTATTTTGGAGAAGGCTTTTAAAAATACCGATTGTAAACAAAAGTGGCGATTAATCTCCATTTCGCGCATTTAGACAAATTCATTCCCGTTTGTTCGCCGACCAAACGAACCGCTGTTGCGATCAGATTTGGTTCTTCGGAATCGGGTCTATAGAAAACAATTGTTTTAAAAACCACACGACAAACACTTTCTTTACAACACTTACAAATAGCCGTCTATTTGGGCGTTGAATTTACCGCCGATCAGAGAAAAGCCGTCGTTTGTGTTTCTCGAGACCAAAAACGCCAAAAGTTTGTTGAAATGCAAAAAATATGATTTACTTCCGGTACTAATGGCGTCGAAATCTGAGCCAAACATTCGGTCGTAGATATCGCTCATCGATGGCAATGAAATGATGAGGACTTTGACGCCGTATTTATACGTAGTCTTCGATACAATCGGATGATCAACAGATGAAGGCTTGTCTTTGCCATCAGTCTTGGCATTAGTTTCGTCGCTTTCTTTGCAAATTTCAGTTTTGCTTTCCTCTTCGGCTTCCTCTTTGGTTTCACTTTTATCTCCTTCTTTAGTTGCCTTCTCTTTATTCTCTTTCGGCGAATCAGTCTTTTTCGACACCTCTTTCTTCTTGTTGTCGTCTTTCACTTCAATCACTCTAAAAGTGATGGGTTTTGGGATATCATTGATATTGAGAGTAAAGTTTGAATTTACAATCACTTCCTTTAGATCAGAGGGAATGTGAAGATTCGCAGAATATCTCTGTTTGATGTCATATACGTTGAGAGGAGTCTTAAGAATAGCCAACTTTGGGATATTGACGGGTTCGTAGCGGCGTCTGACCGCTCGAACCACGTTCTGACTGCCGATACTATTCGCGGGAGACTCTGAGCGTCTGACCCGACGCTCTGGTCGTTCGCGTTCGCGCTCTTTGTCCTTCTCTTTGTTGCGCTCTCCGCCTCTGAGGTCGCGTCCGAACTCATCTCTTCCTTCTTTGGACACAATGTTTCGATCGCGCGAATCGTTTCGCTTACCTTTCGCGTCATTCAGACGAGAGGGCCGATCGTTGTCTCGCGCGCGGAACCGGTCATCGGCGGCCCGATTGGGTCGCTCTTCGCGCTCCCATCGCGAAGCGCTCGACTTGTAATTGTTTTGAGTGGCGGTTCGCGATTGAGTAGACAAAAGGTTTTGTTGTATTTGTTGAGTGAAAGGAAGGGTAGAGGAAACGAAAGCCGAACCTAACGTTCATTTGAAATGAAGAGTCAACTGAAAGGCAACTGAAAAGTCCGCTCAAACCTGGAGTCGACGTGTATTGCAATTGACTGAAGCTGTTGTTGGCGTTACTGTCGTTGCGCTGTCCGTAATAACTGGCCAACTGTTGCGCGGCTGCGACCGCCTGTTGTGTTTTGGCGAAATCAAACGACTGTCCGGAGCCGTAAGCGCCGGCGTTGGACACCGACTGACTCGAGTAGTAGTTCTGCGAAGTGTTGGACGGCTCGTCGCGTGACTG